AAACCGTTTTTCCTTTTAATTTCAAAACAAACTTATGCCAGTGATGAGAAATGAAGTCCTATAACCGTTACTGTACTTCTAAAAAAAGACCTTTTATTCTTGTAAAATTTACGGCACAAAATGCTTTGTATGCTTAGTGTACAAATAATTTGATCATTTTTTATGAAATTTTAGAAGATAAATTTCACTTGAAAAAACTGTCCTTTTTAGTGATAGTTTCTTTTAAGCTATCCTTTCTTACCGTTATATGAAAACATTAGAGCACATTAAAATTGAGATGGAAGTTCGAAACTATCACTAAATATTTGAGAAATTATGTTATATATTGTATTCCAAATGGAGACGATCCAATAACCAAAATATCATAGGTCAAGGAGTGATTTTTTTTTTCATAAATCATCGTTAAATTATGGAATTAGTTTGAGACGGACACTACTATCTAAATGATGGAGTGAATATACCATGCTTTAATATACCATGCTTAATTCAGCAAAAGTTATCGTACTGCAAACTAACATTGTTGCTTTTCCAGCACCGACAGAAAACTTTTTTCTCACCAATATCTTCTAAATCAACCGTTTCGGCCACCTTAAATAGAAACATTTTTGTATTTTTTTTTTTTTATATTTGTATCAAAATTAGATAGCATGTCACCAAGACTACGTCACTTTGTTCGTGACGCTACCACATAATAAGCAATCCTTCTTTAAAAACTTAGAAGCTATCAATAGTACTATCTCGAATCGTTCAATTTAATGCACTCGCTAGTTAAGCCATTAATTTGGTATTCCAGTTGCATTTTGTAACAACTTGATTTAAAAAAAATGCGGGCATAGAAATTACTTTATCAGTGAAAAGTTTGATTTTACTGTTAACACGAGCTTTCTTTTTTGATAGATGCACACCAACATAATATCCAAACAACGCAGACCCAATCAACGTACCAATCCCAATTAGCCAATTTCTCGCTGTGCAGCACCCTGTTAACAAACAAAACATTCACAATTTACTTTTAGCTAAATATTTTTGGGAATATGAATATATAATTGAAATTGTACAGCTTTAACAAATCAGCACTAAAAGACTTCTTTTTTAAATCTTATCAGAAACTACGAAACATACCAGCTTGTTGAATGGGACTGTAACCCATAGATCCAGAAGCTCCGTCCATTAATTCTGTAAACTAGCAACAAAAAATAAATTCAGAAACAACTTTTAACATTTTCGAGAAATGAGGCATATATAAAATGTAAGCCGAAGTGCAGCATATTTCAACCACTGAAGATAAAATTCATTTCATGAAATTATCTTTATGTTAAGATTTCAAAATCAAAACATCGATATTTCATTTTATTTAGTTGAAACCTATAATAACAACAATAAAATATGAAATTAAAGTGTGTTTTATGGATCCAATTTCATATTCCACGACTTATTTCTAATTTATTCAACAAGTTACCAAGGATGTAAAGAGAAAAGAGTTGTACGCAGAAATGCACACCAATATCACAAATACTCATAGTGCCGATAACTTTCCTTTAGATATAGAACATCGGCCAATTCAATTCAAGAATTAATTACGTATTAACACAAATGAAATACATTGTAAAACACATCTTACAAACATAATAATTATTGCTATGACGACAGGACAGGATCAGGTAACCGCCTAAACACAGCAGGCCATTTAGATCCTTCGTTACGCGCTACTTTTTGTCCTTCCTCTGTGCTATCATAAAGCATTTCCACAACTGGATCCATTTTCATTTCCAAATCTGTTAAACGCTCAAATAAAGGATGAGCAGAGAGATGCCTCACCATCCAAATGTGCAATTCTTCAACATCCGTTATCGTGTAAACCAGTCCTCAAAAATAAACTTGATTTTTTTAGCAATAGTCCAAACTATCTCATTTTCTTTCTTTGGGAAAGAACTAGATTCTTAACAGATAGTTTTGCTAAACGAAATTAAAATCACTGAATAATGAACTTATAGTTATCGATCTCACAAAACTAAGAGCTTCACCAAATGCAATTTTTTCTTTTTCCAGATTTATGAGGTAATAGAGGACATTAATTAGCAAATTGAGCAAATCGATAAGAACTACGCTAAGTTAGGACTGTCTTCATTCAGAACATATTAAATGTAGAATAAAGTTGAGTAAATTATCAAATGTAGTGTTTTAAAGTAGTAAACGGATGCAGTCACATGTCATATAAGTCACATTAACAAGTTAATCAGAATAATCATTCGCAATTTCAGTATAGAAGCTGTTACCTCCTGGTTTTAAAACATAAGCATATTCAGCTAGTAGAGTTGGTGTAATGATTCGCCACTTATGTTTCGCTTTCTTAAAATGTGGATCTGGGTACAAGAAAAACATCTTTGTGAGCTGATGTCGACGGAAATAATTTGGTAAATATTTCATTGCATTAGTTCGGAGACATGCGACATTTCGGTAATTCCCTGGTTCTCGCAAACGTAGCGCATGAATTTTGTCTTGCACATAGTCACTAACCTATGAATTAAAGCGGTTTTAACGAAAACATTATTTCTGCTTTTGATCATTACAAAATCAATAAATATAAAATCATTTCACCTCATTTACTCTGTGTATCAATAAAAATAGCAAAGTTCCCTCAAAAACTAATCAAGTCATTCCTTTTGTCCCTACCATTTTTATACTTTTTATAAACATTTTGTCAGTTTTCATAAACATTTCAAGGATCGTGAATTTTTAGTACTATTTTAACTAACTCCTTGATAAAAGTTAACTAAATTATAAAAACTATGGCTGAACAGTTTATTTACTATCATATTTGAATAACTTATATACCTTCACTCGAATCTCCAATCCAACCATCAGAGCTTCTGGATATAAAGTAGAAAGTTTAATCAGCAAACCACCATAGCCACAACCAACATCAGCAAACTCTACCTGACGTCCTTCACTGAAATCCCCGAAATATTTCTTCCAGTCCATCCTTAACTATATTGGTATGATTCATTCTGTTATAAGTAATAATCACACAGCAATTTTTCCAATATAATACTAATTCAGTTCATTTATACAAGACTTATCTTACATGAGGTGAAAGTTAGTTTAAAAGTGAGTGTGCGAGTAGAAAGTGTACTAATAAGTTCAAAATATAGTTTATTTTTTCTGAACAATATGTGACAATATGAAACTTACAATGGAGCATCAACAAAATCTGTTCAGGTACAATTTTAACAAATAATAGACAAACTAATTAGAAATAAACTAGTTACTGATTGCAGCTCACACCTTAAATACATTTATGAATCGACACAATCTCTGTATGCTGTACATTCGTATCGATGCTCCATTGTATGTTTAAATAATCAGTTGAATTCATAAATAATTAACAATTCACTTACTGCTCGGGGAAAACCGGGTAATCGAATTCATGGTCACTAATCGGATTTGCATGAGCCCTTTGTCGGTAGAACTTTTTCTGCGGCAATTCTCGCATTTCTTTACCATCTATATCATCGTCCTTATTTTTAAACAATCCAATTTTATTTTCTGTGCTAACCATGTCTAGCTAACAATCACACCCAATTTTCTTAAATTATTAAAGGGGTTTTATTTTAACCAGTAAATAAAAAAGTTAGAAACGCTACTAACTGTTCCTCACTAATCTATATCATATTTGCATTAAAGGAATAAAAGTAAACGCTAAGTGAAACACAAAATTATATTCAACGACATATGCGCCTCGTGAAAACTTTACAAATTTAACACTGATGCAAAAGAAAAATGCGGAGTTGTCATAAGAATTGGTTCACTATTAACGAAAAAATTAGCCAAAACCATGCATACTTAATTTTCAGTAAACAAAATATTATTTTAATCAAGCTTGGTAAAATGAATGCAGCAAGAATAAGCTATAATTTACAACATTCCAAATTAATAAGGCACAATTTCTATATGCTATACGCTCATATCGATGCTTCACTTAAGTTTTAATCGGTTAGTTGAATCCAATAAGAATAATTCATTGTTTAATCTAAATATGCGCATCAAACTTATGTACATTTGATCTGCAACAGTTAAGATTCACATTTATTTTATAAGCAGCATAACAACTGTAAAAATATCACAGACAACCACTTTCAAACAAAAAGATGAAATGAGCTATACAATTCCTACTGCATCAAATCTCTGATTACTTAACATGGTTCAGTAAGATTGCTAAAATTACTGATACTAAAACCAACCATTTTAAGTTAACTTCTCAATATTAACAACAGTTATTCCTCTCTTTTCTAAAATCTAATTTTTACATCGTATTTTCATAGAAATTAAATTACTTACTAACAGCAGTTTTGGAAAGAATCTAGAGCAAAAATAACGAAAACTTTAACAAAGCATATTGTCGAATAAAGAATTAGAGACATAATTAAGTTGTACAAATTAATCAGTAAAGCGAATGATGAAATCCACATCTACACTACATACCAAATTCTCTAAATACTACCACCAAGCTACCACCTAGAAAATGACAGATACGAAGGAAAAGCAGATTAGGCACTTATTCCATCAATAAGATTAAAATTATGATCATAAGAAACTATCAGACAAAGAGTCACAGGAAAAATCAAGGAATTTAAAAACAGAAGGAATCAGACGGAATGACTGCTATCATCAATAACAAACAACAAGATCATAACATGCTTGATTCTTCACATGTTAAGCAAACAACCTTAGTGCCACAAATTTTATAAATCTCTTATGAAATATATCAAAGTTATATTAAAGTTGATGAAACTACTAAACAGTTTACGATTTTTCACTAAATATGCATTAAACTTTATAATTTCAACAAAAACATTATTAGAACTTTAATAGCATATTCCAATAGAACAAATATTCACACAACGCTTACATACAGACCCACCAACGCCTAATATACAGAAATTGCGCAATTTCGAAAAAGTTAAAAAATGATGCGTTTAACATTTCATTTTTGAGAATACTTAATGGATTGATTTCTTCTGTCCTGTGAAAATATGATGCTTCCTGCGTTTAACTGGTAATTCTATAGCGGATACCTAAATACTGAGATTTGCATGATACTCACAAATTTTCAAGAATAATCCTGACCGAAATCTAATTTTAACTGCTAGATCTCGATTTGCATATTGTATTTAAAAATACATACCTACCGCTTCTTTCACCAATAAAAAGTCGAAAATTGGATTTGTAAAATTAAGTGTAAGTTTGTCAAAGCTAATTCGAAAGCATATTGCTAGGTTTAAAACAAACCTGAAGAGGCCAACCACCACCGATAACACCTGCTTGTACGGCGGCACCAGTCACAACCGCTAATTCAGGATCAACACCATGATTTGCTGCCTTTCTACAAATAATCAAATGCAGAGACCAATGTCTTGAATTTCAAATGACCATTTTCAGAATGAAAAAAAAAGCTAAGCATGGTTCAACTTGATATATATCAATCTACATAGTACGGCCTAAACCATCCATTGCTCAGTTTATTTTTATTATTATTACTGAGATGATAATCTATGCTTAGATTGTTCTTCGCTTGTACTAATTTCGCTCGTTCAGTCCACCAATAAAAAAATTAAGAAATTTACCCAAAGTAACGACCAACAACGGAACGAACACGTGGTATGCGAGTTGAACCACCCACCAGTACAATTTCATCGATATCGGATGCCTTTATTTCAGCGTCATTTAAAGCTGCTTCTATTGGTTCTGTGATACTTTCAAACAAATCTTCATTCAAAAATTCGAAGTTGTCACGTGTAAGCTGAAAACAAAGACTAAAGATATGTACATTTTTTTTTATTAAAAATCTTCAGAAGTTGAATCTCTAAATAATTTCAAAACCTTATAATCATTACTCTATAAATCATCTTTCCAATTGACCGCAAATTTAAATCGATATTTGTGGCAGGAAGTGTAGTAAGTTGAATTTTTGCAGCTTCAATTGCAAGGCGCAACTGTTGGATATCTTCTTGGTCATCAAGCGCCTTGCCGTACTTCTCTTCTATGTACTGTAAATGAACAAGGCAGAGGTAACTCATCTAAGATACAATCAGAATTAGCTGTGTAAGTTCCAAAACATTTGGAAGCAATATTTCAATTAAACACCAATAAGACTTAAACTTGGATAAACATGCGATAAGTTGAATATTTCAGACTTTAAATACTTAGTTGCATATAAAACGCCAACATTTCAGTTTTGAATTTATCAGAATTAGGAATACAACTATAAAGAAAAATATGCAGAAATATTAACCTGCATCAAATGACTTTGGACACGATTATTAAAATCTTGGCCACCAAGCCTATTGTTGCCAGCCATTGCCACTGTCATAAATATGCCTCCTTGCAACCACAGTATCGAAACATCTAATGTACCTCCGCCTTAAATGAACTATTAGTTACAAAAAAAATGGTAAAACAAAACAATGAATCAAAAAAAGAAAGAAGTATAATGAATGCCTAAAGTGCAACATATTATGCAGCACTCTTGGACTTTATTCCAAGAACCACACATTAAAAATATATAAATAAATAAAACTGACCTAAATCAACTACAACAATGTACTGAACGTCTTTTTTCTTATGTAAACCATAAGCAAGGGCAGCTGCGGTTGGCTCACTAATTACACGACGACTTTCCATTCCTAAAAGCATGCATTAACAAAAAATATCTGCATGAAAAAATGCTGACCTCATAGAAATGAATTTCAAATAAAATTTAAGACAGTAATTTTTTTTTTCTTGCAATTAAGAACAAACCGGCTTTTTCAACAGCTAATGAAGTAGCATTCCGTTGCTCTTCATCAAATTCAGCTGGAACAGAAATAACTGCCCAAATAATTTCGTCCCATATTTCTTCTCGGCTGCTTTTCGAAGATAATTTATTATTATTGCACCAACTTCTTCCGGTCTTATTTTCCTGTAAAAAATAAAACATCTGGGTTAGCAAGCCATGAAAGTTTTTCAATTCTGAAAGAACAAATATAAACTTTATGAAAGAAACCAATTTTTTCAAAGCAGCGACTCATTTTATATCACAGATGTGGATTAAAAGAAATTTCACCTATGTAAACTTACTTAATAACATTATTTTGCAGTGGTATGACAAAAAGCACTCGCCCTTCCATGTCTAACTCAATTTTAAACGGATATCGCTTCCTGTCAACCTGCAAAAAAAAAAAAACCTCTGAAAATCAGAACGCTAGCAAGTATGATTCGAGAATTTTCATATGGAAAATAATCACAACATAGTCGTAAAACTTTAAATGTTTCCCCAACAGATTTCTTGATTAGAAATCAAATCCACTTTGGTTTGCACTTCTTTCTGCACTATATGCAGTGCTGACATGGAATGTACGCATCGAAAAAAACTAAAAAGCTAAATGCGCTTATAAAACTAACCAAAAACAGATTATTCATAATGGCTTTACAAACATAAAAGTAACACCTGAAATTGTGGGTCGTCTTCAGACAATTTTCTGCCAATGAAACGTTTGGCATCATATATTGTTCGTTGAGGATTGTGTTCTTGTTGTTCAACAGCTTTTGAACCCACTATTACTGTACCATTTGGCCTGTGATATTTAAAAATAATATTGGAAATAGAAAAAGACAGAACATTATTAACAGTTGGAAAAAATCAAAGATGAGTGCTAATAATAATAACTTACAAAAATGCAACAACACTTGGTATACTTTGCCGTCCCGTCTCATCAGCGATTATATCTGTTATCCCAGTGACAGCTTGATATATGCCTATTGATGAAAATGTTGTGCCCAAATCGATAGCAGCAATTTTAGGTGCTGGAGGAGGTAGTCCATATTTTCGAGCCAAATAACCAGCCAGAAGCAGTGACAGTAAAGATGTCCCTAAATCGGTAAAAATCTACGAATTATATTGTGATAAAACTATCTCTTACTTTACATTTAAATTTCTAAAATGCAAGTGAATTCAAAGAAATAAAATGTCATACCACTGCTGAAAAGATATATTCAGCTGTGCTATTTGATAATTTGAAGTATCTTAACTGTACAGTGAGTAAAGTATCTTAACCGTATACCTGAGAAGTACGTGCAGTATAGAAAATGGAAACGTGACGTACTAACGCTGTATCATATGTAACGTAAACGGCAATAAGTAATTTACCCAATAATGATACTGAGAACGACATATGCAAATGACGTCGAAATTCTCAAACGTAATGTCTCACGTTATAATACAGATAATACCATTGTGCTGTAACATTCATATGATAACGTACTATTCTCATTTGGTTTACGTACGCCGCTTTTACTAAGTATTTACGTAAGTTACAGCAGATAAGATGAATTACTAATTTGTATGGGACAGATGAAATTGCTGAAGAAATCACTGCAAAAGAATTATCAACTACAATCAGATAACAATCAGAAAATGATAAACAATTCTTCGCGGCTAACCGCGAAATATCGTCCTGAAGCCAACGTGGAAAAGAATTTACTGTGAAATTGCATTAATAGAAAATACATTTATTTCTTTCCCTCTCATCAAATTTAGACTAAATTGAAGAGTTTTGCGAATAATTTATAAAGAAAGGATTAAATTTTTCGGTTGCTAATAAATTGATTTAATCGAATATTATTCAAATATTTAACGATTTAATCGAATATTATTCAAATATTTAATGATTTAATCGAATATTATTCAAATATTTAATGATTTAATCCAATATTATTCAAATATTTAATGATATAATCGAATATTATTTAAATATTTAATGATTTAATCGAATATTATTCAAATATTTAATGATTTAATTTTAGATTTATGAAGAGAAGTAATTCAGTGAAATGAATTATTTGTAGTGGTTGTTTGTCGTACTAAGCGGTTAAATTCTAATAGCAATTTAAAAGGTGTTAAAAAATTTTTTTAAATTTATCATTTGACATTCTGCATGACCTTATGACCTTCCTGCAAATGAATTGTTTGACGATAATAAATTGTTTTATTAATAAGCAAATGAATGCTTGATGATGAATAGTGTGAGCATACTTCTGATACTTTCAGTCTAATTAGTTCTTATCATCTGTTAATTTAAAATCAAACTTTTTTCACCTGTTACATTTGGAGACCGAAGAAACAGATTATAATTTGAAATTTGAAAAATATTATTATACATTGATAAAATAAACACTAAATAAATTGTACGATCAAAGATGGTAATAAAAATTGCTAAATAGAAGTACTAGTCAAAATAAAAGACAAGCAAACTAAAATTTTCAGTCTAATTAGTTCTTATCATCTGTTAATTTAAAATCAAACATTTTCACCTGTTACATTTGGAGACCGAAGAAACAGATCATAATTTGAAATTTGAAAAATATTATTATACATTGATAAAATAAACACTAAATAAATTGTACGATCAAAGATGGTAATAAAAATTGCTAAATAGAAGTACTAGTCAAAATAAAAGACAAGCAAACTAAAATTTTTTAAACTTGAATTATCCTGAATTTTTCTAACTTTTAAAATGTAAGCAGAAAATCATACAAAATTTCAGTACTAAACATAATGTCTCGAAATTTGGTAATTCAGCATAGCTTGCCATGTCCACCACTGCAACAGGAGGAAATTGATCAGCTTATTCATGGGATGTTGAATAATTGTGGTGGAGAATGTCCACTCAGTGAATTGATCACTTTGGAAAAATTGTTTTTTGTACCAATCACTATTTTATTTTAAAGTTGAAAGTAGGAGAAAGAAAAAGAAAGAGAAAGTGGATAAAATAAATATAAATTGTAGCTTTTGAAAAAGTTTGCTTCGATTAGCTCTGATCACAGAAATGAATCACTCAATAGACTTCATTGATCTTATCAAATATGATAGTATATATCATTTTCAATTGCCTTTGAAATTACTTCTTGCATCGATCATCTGGACAACAACAATGACAAACTATTCAGGAGGACATGCGCAAATGTCGTCCATTGCAGATTTGTCACAAAACAGTTGATCTGTTACGAGAATGTGGCACATTAGAGTACATTCATGATCCGGATGGTGTTGCTATATTTGGTGATCTGCATGGTAGTTTATATGATTTATTTAGAGGAATAAAGGATGCCGGTTGGCCCACCGAAAGAACATTAATTTTTCTTGGTTAGTTGATGAAGCATATACTATAACAGTGCTATCATTTAAATATTCAATGAATTTGAAAATCATTTTTCAATTAATTATATTTCATTAAAGTGAATCTTACATTACTTCCTTCAATCTTACCATTTTAATATAAGAATTCGACAGGAGATTACATTGATCGCGGGAAGCATTCTCTCGAGATGGTTTTATTACTTTTCTTATTGAAATTACGCTATCCAAAACGAATGTACATGCTGCGTGGTAATCATGAAACAATGAGTCAATGTTATGCAAATGAGGATGAAGAAAATGGATTAATTCGAAATGTATGTATGTGTGTGTGTTTTTCATTTTATAATTTAAACCTGATTACTACTGGTTTATGCTACTTTTATCAGTTCCTCTTGACATTCCTCTATAAAGCATCTATCCGTCCGGATATTCACGATGTATTGGGAAGTATTGAATTGTTTGTATTTTGAATTTTATCATTTCTTACATTTTTGTAGCTTAAATTAACAAATGCAAAAAGATTTGTCTTTACAGATTGAGCGCTGTTATCCGAATGCTGATAGGAATTTGATACTATATAATATCAATTTTGTTTTTGATCATTTACCACTTGCTGCCATTTTATCAGGTGAGCACAATTAGTAGTGTTGAATTCTAATGTATTGAAAAGTTTTCATTCTGATAGAGTAGATAACATTTAAGAATTAGAGAAGTGAATGGTAAATTTTGAAGAAATTTTGCTTAAATTTACACTGAAATTTTTTATAACAACAAAAAAAAAACTCTTATTGGTATAAGTGATAAATGTTACTTATTATTAATAATTAATTAAAATATTTTCTCAATATTAACAATATTTTCCTTCCAAAAAGAGAGAGAGAGAAAAAAAAAAGTTAACAAGAAGATGATATCAGTTGAATTGTAGAAATCGTTGCAGATCAAATATTACTTTGTCATGGTGGTATCTCGCAGTTTATTAAATCGAGAGAAGATATTGCTCAGATACCACGTCCATTAACATGGCTTGCACCAGAAACAAATGTTTTTCATATAAGCATTATGACAGATATTCTATGGGCTGATCCATCTAGACAAATAACGCTTGTTTTTTCTTTAAATTTCAATAGCATTGAATAATTTCACTATTTGAAGCATTCAAAATTTCAAGATTTACAAATGAGATGATAGAAGTTCAGTGAAATAAAATATTTAGTATAAGTTTGAAAAAGTTCGATATAAACTAACTTATATTTGCTTACATTCTTTGTTTATAACTGAAAAGCTCTTTTGCATTAGCATAATATTCTCAATCAGATCTCACTATCACTATTGCTCAAAACAATTTTCAGTGTTTAGATCAAAATATTCACCTTCTGAACGTGGTGCATCATATTTCTTCAATCGAAGAGCACTGAAAGAGAAACTACGAGAATTAAATTGTCGAGCTCTCATACGTGGTCATGAAGCTAATACAGTAAGTTTAATGATAATTATAATATTATATAAATTACTGTGAAAAAGTATGAAAACAATGATTTTAAATTTTTCATTAATTCGTCATTAATCACTTCAAATAATAATTTCTTCTTTTTCAGAGCTTTTTTTTTTGTATGTGTGATTTCTTGTAAATGATCGATTCATAACATTGCTAATAGCATATATTATAATTTTCAATGCTAATTTCATTTTTTACTGAATATAAAGATGGATATAGTATTATCTAATAAAAAAAAAAATGTAAATAAATTTTTTTATGTATAGAATGAAATGAAGAAGCCAATAATCTTTTCTTAACTATTACAGAGTGGTTTTGTAAAGGTATTTAATGGTCTTTGTTATACGGTACATTCATCACCTGCAGCTGGTGACGAGTATTATGTTGCAGCTATTTTATTACTCGATTTTGATGACAGAACAAAACTTTTGACAGGTCATGTAGTGTATCATTCTACAAAGGGAAATTTGGAACATTTGAGGGAAGATTTGAGTGCAAATTTTGAGGAAATAAGGTATGTGATGCTTACACTCATCATTTTAGTATCATCTAATTATTTTATTCAAATTTAAATATCAGAATATAATTCACCGAGCTATATTTCCATGCTGTATGTTTATATGATGTAAATAAAACTCTTAGACATCTTTATCCACTTGATCCGACTGATCCAACTATGCCACAATGCTGGTCATGTATGAAATTTATGGAAGGTGTATCAGAAGCGATTTTCAAGTGGCAACGATGTCTTTCACATTTTGATTATTACATGATAATGAGAGTTTGTTGCTATTAATCACTAAATTATATCAGACAGAACGAATATGTTTTAATTTTTCAGTTCTTCTGTGGTAAGATGAAAAGATGGATAGCAACTTGATAATAAAATATAAATTCAAGAGTTATTTGATGTAAACTTACTGTTACATTTTTTGTTCATATAATTTGTTAGCTAAAGAAATGAATGAAATTTCCAGGAATATCGAATTGGTGAACACAATTTTCCTTTTGAGGAAGATTTCTTTGCTGAATTGGATTCTATAACTGAAGAAAATTTGCATGAATTGTATAGGATTGCTGCACTTCAATATCCCAAATTTCTCAATATATTGATAAGTGAAAATTGTACGTTTGTAAAAATAAATAGTCAACAACTGATGATAGGATCAAAATGTTACATACAGGTGATAAATCAAACAGTTGTGAAATGATGATAAGATGTATCATTTGAATAGTTTAATTTTAAGCAATTAAAAAATTTTAATAAAGTATGAATAGCAATGTTTAACTAATCATTGCTGATTTTGTTTTCGAAAAAAAAAAAAAAAAAGGAAAATTGTATAATGTTTTAGAATACTGATTTTGTTGAGTATTTTATGAAACATGTTGAAGATTTGTTGAGTATAAGTGGAACACAGCAGTTTGAGGAAGTACCAGAATATGATTTCAAATTCGTGTTACCTTCATCCGAAAGAAGATGGCCATTTCTAGAAATTCATGATTGATAATGCATGCTGTTTATTTTTAACTAGTAATTTTTT